GGTTCCAGATGTAAAAACTTTGATGGACCTGACACTTTCGAGAACAGCAAACATCATCGATCGACCGTTTTCGAAGCTCTCGGATAACAATAAATCGACTGTTAAAAATTGGCTACTGTTGTTATTTACCAATCGGATGAATTGATTAAAAAGAATGAAAAATATGAAGCGATACATTGGTGAACTGCAACAAGATTTACTAAAATTTCATACGGTAATAAGGATTACGTGATCGAATCGTGGCTCGTTTAATTAATGTTATGCACATAAATGCATTAACGTAGACACTGTTGCAAATATGTAAATAAACGTTGCGTTATATTGCTTGAAAATGACGTACTCTGGTGGAAATGATTTAATATAGTAAAATTCAAACAACGAGGTATAAGAAGAAAATTTTCATTCGATGGAAAACATTTTCTTGCTTCATTTTTGTTTCGAAAATTTAATAAGTACTTTGAAGCTCGTTAAATTGTTAATTAGATGGTTGAATTTGCAATTTCTTCGACAGAGCAATTTACGGGTGAAAAGATTAATAGACGAATCAGAGGGTCTGAATTTCAATGAAATCCTTTCATACAGGCGATCCATAAATGATCGAGTCGAAGAACAATGGAGGCACGAGCTCAAACAAATCCACGTGAGATCCCTTTTCCGGCTGGTTCGCGTGGAAGATGGAAGAAGTCCCGTGGGACGCGAGTACACGCGTTACCGTCGCAAGAAGAAGCAACGAAAACGAGGGATGAAAATCGTGTAGACGCTTCGTCGAGCGTGAATCCGCGATATTGCCTTCGGTTGCTACATAATTGTGAAAACGGGAAAATCCATGTCTTTGAGACGGTATTTATCTTTTCTCGATAACCTATGATTTACAGCAGAGCGAAGGAAATATTTAAAAATATTAAATATTAAAATCCAACCCGATAAATAAACAAATTTAAGCATAGCTGATTTCTGACAAAAATAAAGAAGAAAAGAAGCAAGAACTATTATATAAAATCTTATGATGTCGCTCGGCCACAAAGTTTGCCATCTTATGACATCAGCCGGTTAAAAAATATTCAGAAAACTGGCAGAACTGTTTCGAAGAGCAACCGCTTTCGATTTCAGGCGCGAATCGACTGCGTCAGCGCGCAGGCAAGAGGGTTAGAAAGAACGCGGGTAAAAACAGGCCGACAGCTGAGTGTACATAGGAGCCTGTCGGCTTTCTTTCTTTCCACTCGTCTCTCGTCTACGTTTGAAAATTCTACCCCATCGTGAGCTCGCGCACGCTCGTACCTCTTCGCATCCCCGACAACACGCTCGCACGCTCGCTCACTCGCTGCACCTCCGGGACCTATGCAAACACGACGCTATTCATTGGGCAACGTGCTCTGGTATATTGGTGCCAGAGACGAGCCGAGGCGAGGCGAACTGAACCGAGCGGAATGGAGCGTATCTATGATTTAATGAATAACGCTTGCAATACGCTTCGACGATGATTACAAAATTCGAGGCAAAGAATTTAGAAATTTGTTTAGAAATGTTCTTGATAAAAAAGAAAATACGTAATCGAAGAAGACAGGGATGAAAGAAGAAGAAGAAAAGGGGCTGCGCAAGGAGACGAGGCGAAGCTTCCGGACAAAATGGAGAGAAAAAAAACGACTCGAGGGAGCTTTCTGTCGAAAGCTGAACGATAATACTTCGCGGTGCTCCCTCGAACGCTTGGAGCGGGATAAAGGCTCGCTTTTGGGACGAGTGAGAAACGAATCGAGGGGGTGGCAGAGGGGTGGAAGAGGCGCCGCTTTCGAACTGTGAAGAGGGATGGCTATAGCTTGTAAGTGAATTTTATTGCGCGATTATATTGAATCCCTCCGAGCCACCAGCTACTGTCAAACCCCACCCTCGTTGTTCCACCCCCGTCGAGAGGGTTTCATGCTCGACGGTGCTCAAACCTCCGCTAAGAGTAATTCGAAATTTGTCCGTGAAATATCTTTTTCTTATCACTTTACTTGTATCATTTTAGATCAAATAATTACCTTTGACAAACTACAATAATGCAACCCTCTTTTGATCCAATTCTTTTCTCTTAGTATAATAATAAATGATAATTTACGAAAATAATAGATTTTGAAATATAAATTTGAATAAGATGATGTTTCTTATGGATAATGGATGATGATAGAAATTTTGTTCAAGTTTATCTCTAAACCGCTTCGTTTTAGTTGAAGATTATTCGAATAATGTTCAATTCTGTACCTATAGTGAGCACCACTTTTGAATCTCGAGGGTTGCACGGTAGTTACTGCCGGCGGATACCAAATCGAAGCTTGCCCACAGGGATGTTTGCACGTTGGATCACGGACTCCATGGCAAAATTTACCATAGCAAAACCTTGCTATTCCCAACGGCGCGAGACTCGCCTCGAACATTCGGTCCTCCTGCCACTTCCTGTCTCGCTATTTCACAACCGTCCTTGTTTTTCATTCCGAGGTAGAAAATATGATAATTCACTCGAGACACCCTTCGTCTACCATTACAATAGCAATGGTAATATTTTTGTCTATTATTAAAAATATAGCTTTCCTTCTTAATTAAAGAAGGTATAGACGTCGAGGAAAATTAGTCGTCCAAGATTTGTGTCTCACGACGAGGCAGTCTGTTCGCGAAAAAGATCTCATAGTTTAGTTCGACTGAGTGCTCGTCTTATCCCCGAGGACAGGGAGACCGAGGTTCCCAGGACGATCTTATTGGCCCTCCTTCAAAGAGGCAGCAAGTTGCTCTCTCGAGATGGCACACAAGGTGGAAAAAGATGGTCGAGTTGAATTAATTCCTCAACTATCCTTTCTCCGGTCCTTCGTTACCTCGATTACGGCCCACCTCGAAATGTAATCGCTACTTTTCTACTTCTTTTCCGAACTGTTCCTCGCATCGAGTGCTTGGATCCTTGTACCGTTTATTTGGTATCACGAATATTATTTACCCCAGTGTACTTTGAATCTTTCGACGATTTTCAATATCTTGGGGATAGAATGGTATTGGATCGATTTTAATATAGTCGATAAAATTTAGAAAATGAAAATTTTTCTGTAGCAATATAAAGAAAAATAATTTTTGTCAACCACCCACATTGAATAATTAAGTTTCTGTAGGAAATTAAAGTTTGGTATAAAAATCACCCTTCGATTGATGAAAAGAGTCAATAAACACTTTCAGAATGATTCAGGGAGCGGTTGAATAAAGTCGAATAAGCATAGGTTGGTGACTGGGATGGATGGATACGATTTCGTATGATTTTTTAATAAACACCGATCAGACAGCCAGATGTACCGTTCGGTGCTTGACTCAGGATCCGGAAGAGCACTCGTTCGGCTTAGCCGTGGCCACTCGATGCACAAAACTGACGGACGGACAGGCCCTACTGCATCGAACATATTAACGTTCGTAGCGAACGGAACAAAGCTACGCCATTGTTTCGTGCCGTCAATAATCCACTTGCCCTGACTTCGAGGACCAGCCAGGAACGCGTTTAGGGCCGGCACAATTGGAAAAAAGCATCGAGGAAACCGGGAAACCGATGCCCCACGGGGTCCATCCGACCAAGAAAATGGAAGACGATTCTCTCGGATTTCGCATCGATCTCGTTTCGAGGATGCCGAGCACGAAGGAAATTTCTTTTCCTTCTTTTCACATCGCAGAATTCGATATTCAGGCAACGATACAGAGTTCCTCGTTCTTTCATTTTTAAGCCTCGAATCAAATTCAAATGATCTTTTGATCGTTTCATTAATTTAAATGTTTCTTCTATAAATAAAGATTTTTCAACTGGTACGAATTAATCAAGTTTACCCTAATCTCTAGCATTTTCTAAAATCAAACTCCTGTCAAACCTAAAATTCTCCACGAGTTTGCAAATTTTCCATATCCATGATTAATAGTTGCTCTAAATCAAAGAATCTCACCTGACTTGTCCGTCCACTATTTCCTGTCTTCGGTTCTACTGCAGGATTCCGTGGTACTACTCGAAAGCAGCCTGGATGTTTGCCAAGAGGGACGCGGTTGCTGGAGGGTTTAGAAGGAGCTGGTGACTGGGTGGCTTTGAGGATACTTGCCAATGAAGGGGCGGCGGGGAGGGTGCTTAGAAAGAGGGAACACGGCTGGATGGCCAGCAACTCTGATTTCCGTCGGGAATTTCGTCGTATCCGGCGTAACCAGCCGAAGCTGCCTTTAATCATTCGATTGCCAACGCTTAGAGTCCTCGCTTACCCGGGCCTGATATCTAACCGCGTACGATATTTACCCAGCATCCGACGGACCGCACCTGACCGAACGTCCACGATAAATTAATTTGTCCTTTTTCTTTTCGCAAGGACCAGATGTGGTCTTTGGAAATCTTGAGACAAATGGACGAGTCGAAGGAAACTGGTTTAAATAGATTTAATTGGTAACATTGAGATTGAGTTGAAATACAGATAGATTTTAATTATCTTCTGGATATTTTTATAGCATATGATTCTCCTTTTTATGAATGAAAATTATTTTTAAAAATGAAATTTTCTATAATTCATCAAGGAAACCGAACTTTGATTTTTTCTCCTGTTTTCTCCTAATTCGCACCGAATTAAGGACACAACAGCTGGCAAGATAATAAAACGCGAATCTACCAGAAATTGTATTTTGAAATCACGTTTACTTTTTACAAACCTGGATACCATGTTTGCTTGCACTAGTATTTGCGTTCGGCCGCGTTTATTGCATCCTCCGACGCGTCGAAAGGGCTAACCAACGTGTCCAAAACGCGTAAATTAAACCTTTTCTAGTATCTCTATACTTTCCAGTTGATTCTGCTATTTTCATTGTGTAATTTCCACTCTCCTCTCCTTCGCTTACCAATACTTTAGAATCAAACACTGTCAGTGTAAAATCGAATTAAAGTTATAATTTTTGCCTAGTAATTCTACTACCTCGATAGAGAAACCAATAGAAAATTAACTAAGAAACAAAAAATTGCAAACCATGCGAATATAGATGCAAGTATTTTAAAAGAATCACAGCTAATTTCCGATTAGTATTTACTAGGACTTTTAATACACAATTCTCATGCCTAATTCTGCGGCTGATCGACTCATTAAGGGACCCAGGAAGATTAATCAAGATGGTACGCAAGTCGTTCCTCGTGTACGAGTTGCTGAGGACCGAACAGCCGCAGGATGGTTTCTCGGAGAAGGAAATTGTCGAGCAAATCAGCAATAAGCACGACATCATGGCTGGAAAAGGACTTCGGAGACAGGTGGCCGTGGCTCTTCGCCGAGGACTCGATTTCGGCATCCTCGCGAAAAAGAACAATAAATTCAGGTGACAATCTTAAATTTCATTCCTAGGAAACGGTTATACGTCATAATTGGCCATAGAAAATTATTGAATTCTATGGTTAATTAGTCTTTCTCGTGCAGGTTTGATCCTGATAATGCAAAAACTACCATCATGAAGAGAAGAACCACGTTGAGGAAATCTCGAAGCAAGAAGAAGAAGAAGAATAACAAAAGGGCTGCGAAAACCAAGCGATCGAACACTAAATCGGGAAAGAAAAGTGGTACCAAGCAGAATCAGAATCGAAGTGTACCTCCACCAAGACTTCCGAAAACCTGGGTACCAAATAGAAGGAACTTAGCTGACGAGCCTCTGTCTAAGGTCAAAAAGATCTAAATACAAGATTTATGCTATTTTTCTCGTGACACCTGTATATTTTTGATTGTTTACCAGTGATTATTATTTATGTTTCATGGATGTATTTTTAAAATGTGTTTTAATAAAGTATATTTTCCACTTTTTCAATATTTAAAATAAAATATCAATAGGTATTGAATTGATTTAAGGCCAACATGACCTAGTGTACTTTGCACCATTCTGTTTCGGCCTTATTATTAAAAATATAGAAAATTCCGAATGCTAAAGTTAAAAATAGATAATTTTCAAATGTCATTCAATTGTTTCTGAAATTCTTAAAAAATTCATCGTTTCTTTTTCTCCATTTTTTATGTAACGAAACACCTGCAAAAGCCAGCCCGGTACGCGAAATCTGAACCTTTTCCCATGAAATCCGCCTTCCGCTCCAGGATCTTCGGATCCTGTTAGGCGAAACTGCTTCAAACGTAGCGACCGATTTCTGGATCCTTAATCTTCGAGGCCGAACGATCCAAATAACTGCATCACCCTTGGGAACCGTCCCACTATTCGCTGACCGTTCGTCGATTAGACACGGACACTGTATTCCTACGTTTTCTCAAAGGTTCAACCTCGAAGGCTGACCGACGATTTTCCGGCGAGTTTTCATCGCGATGATGTTCTTTGATCGCGCAAGACTCGGCCGGATATACGCGGTGAAAATCGCTTAGAATCGGTTCGACAAATCGAGGTACAGACACCTGTTATTGAGACGAGATATTCCCACGAGTTTTATAATAATAAAAAATTAGAAAACAGCGCACTGCGGAGGAAGAACATAGAAAATTCTAATTACTAAAAATAAAAATAGATAATTTATTTTTCATTCAATTCGTCAATTTGCTAATTAATGTTCCAACCTCCCCTCGGTCATTAAATAACACCCTATTATCACCTAACAAGTATAGCCACCAGATCTTTTGTCCAAAAATCGTGCATTACCTAACAACGGAACTGGATTTTAGGGTCGACGTCCCAATAGGGCAACAAAGTACCTGAAAGAGTACGGATGACCACCATATGTCCAGTTCTGAGCAATTTGTCACCAATTAGGGATATTGACGCCTAAGTGACGAGCTCTTCGTGGAAGCACGAACGTGGAGGACATTTTATAGCTTTTCTCGAAACTGGACAAATAATACAACTGTCGCCTGAAATTGGAAATAAAAAAAGAAGCAAAATCTCCTTGAAATAATTTTCTCAAGAATTATTCGTCGTTCTAAGATATTCATCATATTCGTCATAAAATATTCACGATTCACCACGAAGACACAACAGACACATTCCTGAATAACGGAGACGAATTTGAATAACGTCTGCCGTCATTGTTCCCCGGAAAGTATTCGAATTAGCGAAGAAGTTCGACTTCTTTTCACCCATGAATTTTATTGTCCGGCAATCAGCCACTATTTAGAGAAGCTTTCCCTGCTGCTTCACGGGGGACATCTTTAACCATGGAATCTTCGTGACGACGATACCTGTTTAACACGAGCCTCCCGTCGGTCGGACGCGTGTCGCAGGTGTTTCACCTTTTGATTCTGACGAGATACAAACGATTTTTAGATGGAACAGACGCCCACTGTGCCTCTCGACACGTGTCGCCTCGCGAGACCCGGAGGAATCGTTTCCGGTTCTCACGAATCGACGATTATAGTCAGTGACACGTTTCCTGTGTATACTTTTTGAAGAGTAATATTCCAGTGTGCAGATACAATCTACGGTGTTTTGATATTTTCACAAATAATCTATTCTTTCTCTAATAACGAAAATTCTTAACGAACATAATTCCCTGTAATTTGCACCGAGGTATAATTAAGAAAGCACGTCTGCCAGGTCAACTTTCCACAGTTTTATCGCGGCAAATAGCTGAAGAAACCAAACAAGAGGGGTCATATAAGGAGGTGGTCGATCGTGAACGTCGATAATCGTCTGGCTGAAACGATTCTATACGTGTCACAGGGGTTGAGCCAGGGCTAAGTGTTGCATCGAGGGTTGTTCAACAATGACCGACCTCGCGTCGTCTCGTGTCCAACTAATTAGGCGGTTTATTGTTACGTGAGGACGGTATTTCTATTGGCGTCAGGCGTGATATATTGCCAGGACGAAAGGTCCTCTCGTGTCCTCTTATTATTAAACTTATTTCCATTTTTAATTCAGAATTTTCAGACGTACCGTGAAAATTGCTCGGATTCATCGAGCTCGGGATAATTTCACGAGGACTTGGAAATATTTCCGAAAACCAACAGCTGTAGATTGTACGATGATTCTATGTAACAAGAGATTACTGTTTTCAAATTGTGTTTCTTCGGGAACAGGTACCAGAGGATCCATCAGACTGTGTATCCTCGGTGTGGAACGTGAACGCGGTAACAACGCGTTTCTTGTGGCGAGCAACGTCTGACATCCGAGCAGAGGTGTTATCTACGTGTTATCATTTCTCAGATTAGCCTTAGCAGTCGCACGTTTGCTTTGCACCGTGCTGCTTTCTCTGTGTACCCTGGCTGTATCGCTGTCCTGGAACACCGAACCACTTTCCTTGCTTCCAGCCACGCGAAGAATTAAACAAAAATAGAAGATCAGCAATTTCCTATTTAATTTTCTCCCCTCCTATTTGGTATCGTGGTTTTCTTTCGAATAATTCAAGAATTTTATTTAATTGACGCTTTAAATTGGAATATTTTGTAGAAGTTCCAGACGACGACGGTTTCCTTTCTTCTTTCACGTCGTTAAAACGATGCACTTATCAACGTGTGAAGAAGGACGCGACGGTATTCAAGAAGACTATCTGGGTAGATTTTCCGGTATAAGAATGCGATAGCGTTCCTGGCTGTGCAAACAGCACCGCTAAAGAGCCACGGTTGCGTTCAGGCAATTCAGAACCTCGTGAGAATTCTTTTTAAATATCTTTAATAACGTCTGAGTGATAAGCCGGGTATTCGAAATGAAGAAATATGAAACTCTTTTTTATCGTTTAACGGTTGAAGAATGGTCGACAGAGATTTATTTTGATGAGATATTATAAATCATTTCGTCGATCTAACGCGAAGGTTACACCCGTCGGATCGACTGAACGATATTTTTCCGACCGATCGTGAAACAATCGGCTCGCCGTTTCTGGTCCCGTCGTTGGATTTTCACGCGAAAAAAACACGACTTCCATGCAGCAAGACAAACGTGCTCTAATATTTACTCCGTGAAACTGTAAAACTGGCCAGTCGAAACGCGTTACGTTACGTACATGTTAAAAATTTGTCTGCTACGCCGAACCGATGCTCCGACTGCAAATACGCAGCCCTGTAGCTATCGGTGTTCAAATAAACTAATAAAATAGGATAGGAAAAAGAATGAATTCGCGGTACGAAGTGCGAATAATAACGATTTAAATTGAATAGAATTAAGCTAATTACCGAGAAACGTAATTTTATCAATTAACCAGCGGCGATTCGAAAGAATCGCTGAAAAACAAACCGGTTCAACTCGGAGGGTGGCGAAGCCTGGACAACGCGACTCACCCTCTGGAAGAGGGGACGATAGCCGACGGTCGTGTGAAGGAAGAGACACCGAGAGAAAGAGGAAAGTGAGAGAATACCGGTCGAGAAGGGTGAGCGAGATGACAAGGAGGCACGGAGAAAGAGAAAGAGAGACACGGATCAAGGATAGTCTTTGCCAAATACCAATATTTGCGACCGCCCTGTTGGTACCTCTGCTCGACTCGACTCGACCTGACCCGACTTAACTCAACCGATCTAGCCGCAACTCGACTCCTCCGCTACCCCTTCTTCTCGCTCACTACCCTCCCGCGTTCTGTATCGCGACAAAAAAAGAAAATCTACTTGGCTCGTTATCATCGAATGATTTCAACAAGTGGACTCGAGTGGGTGGATGTTTGAGAATAATATTTTTGGAAAGATAAAGTGATAGACTAAGGGGGTTGTAATGAGCGTCATGTTTCAAACTTCTATTATAAATATTTGATAATTTGAAGGTGCATGGTGCATTTGAATGCTATAGGGGTGCAATGGTATTCGATACTAAACCGAAGGAATTTTACTGAAATTCTAAAAAATAGTAATTTATATATCGTACCAGCACCTGATTACCACAAAATATGATTTCCACCCCCTCAGGCTGGTTTCAATCGTGGATGAAAAACCGTATGGAAAAGCATAATCAATCGATGATTTATCAGCGGTGGAAGCATGGTGGAATCCACTGCGACAAGCCAGATTGATTTCGGTCTCGTATGCGGATGGTAACGTAGCCCCATTGGCTTCTCGCCCGAGGCCAGGAGCGACAGTAGAATAGCGACGGTTATATTACGCGACCGTGTGTCGCGACAGTCGGTGGTGTCGGCACAGGCCGGGTCGCGTTCGATGCAATAAATAATAATTAGGCGCTAATTAGCGGCGGCCATGTTGGCCGCTGCCAGTTGTCGGCGCCTGGGTGGGAGGATGGAAAACGATGCCAGCAAGGGAAGGGAGTGGTGGAGGGCGGTTTAATCACGTCACACACGAATCTACCACATAGTTGCGAGTGGCTGTCTCGATTCACTCAAACTAACCCGTCGTCATCGTCATCTATAGGCGTGTACAGACAGGGTGGTGCGTAGATGTGTTAGGGTGAATCGTGCACGCGAGCACAGCTGCTTGTCCCGGACATGTTGACGATGTAGGGGCTAGCCTGTGCGGTCGTACGATAATACAACGAGCACGAGGGTGGACGGCGGAAACGACGGAGGGGGGTGGGAACGGATCGTGGACGTTGGATGCTGGATGCTGGATGGTGGATGCAGCCCGTGGGATGGCGGTGCACGAGGTGGTCGATTTCACGCGGTCGATCGCTGAACCCGCAGCTCCACCCCCGTATGCTCGCGCTTTTGCCCATTCAAAGAACCGACCGGTCTGTGTTTCGCGTTTGCCGAAACGGAGATGCTTTTTTCGATAGCCGGGATCGATCGATGTTTCAGAAATTTTTGCTTTCGTGAAATATTGGAAAATCAGTTGGATTCTCACGGCGGACCATGGAGAGAGCCCTAATTTCAATTCAATACCAGGTCTTATATTATTTTCATTTTCTAAATTTTATATTAAAAATATCAATAAAAGA